ATAAAAGGCAAAAGAGATAAAAGATAAACTGTATGTAACCTGCCTAACTAGTTTGTGTAAATAGATGGCAGAATAGAGACCGAGGGGGATAGTAAAAAGATAAACATTAATAAGAGCTACAAAGGATAGGAAGTTGTGGAGTGCTATGATCGCCTACATGCTGATGGGGAACAGCACATAAAAGAATAAGAATTTGTTTCCTCTGTCGCATTTCATGACAATTACAAATCAAAATCGCAAATTAATTACTATGGAATTTCGTTTCTGTTTATATTTATGTGTTGAGGTCTTTTTTATATATATAATTTGCTTTAGATCCTTTTCAACTTTATACTCTCCTGCTATACCTATGATTCGTAACCTTCTGGTGTGTGCAGCATGTGCTTCTTGGTTGTTTTACCTAAAACTTATACATATCTTACAGCCCTAAATTACCGTTTTATATGTCTTAGTTGCAATGTACTCTATTTTGGAAGGCGGCTATTATGTATAGGCTCAAAAAAGTAGTATAAAACCCCTCGTTGTGTGATGTTAATTCAGAATATGGGTAGTTTTTCAGGTTTAACATTTGAGAAAATGTCAAACACATACACAAGCAGCCTAAATTTATATTATATTATATGACATTATATACTTTGGGGTGTGAAGTCGCAACCGAGTTCATCTCAAAATACATTTTCACAGAACTCACATGTCCACACACATTTATATATATACGCAGAGAGAAATACACTGAGGTTTCTTTACTAGTATTCTTTCTTTCTTTCTTTCTTTCTTTCTTTCTTTCTTCATGACGTTTACTTTCTTTTCCTAAAATTTCTTTCTTATTTCTTTCTTTCTTACTTTCTTTCTTTCTTTCTTTCTTACTTTCTTTCTTTCTATCCTATCAGATTTTCCTAGTTGCTTCCAAAAGTGCACTTAATTACGGACGCACATACTTTAAACAGATGTGTATTCACTCAAATAGGCAAAAGCACACGCATACACACAAAAGTAAAACGTAACACAACACGCAAGCCATTTTAGTAAGCTCTTACTTTTAAGGATACTAATTTAATTGAATCATATCAAAGAATTATTATTATTATTATTATTATTATTATTATTATTAACTAAGTTTACCTTAGCTTAGCGGAAGGTTCCAATTATGGTGCAGCCAGTGAGCATCGAACTTATTACTCTCTCTATTATTGTCAGATAGATTAGCTCGTTAATAATAACTCTTGCATAGTTTCCATCCGTTTTAAAGCGCTGACATATTCCAGACTTTATAGAGACGTACACGAATGAAAAACTGATATGGTCAACGAGTTTATCTCACACACATTTGTAAGTAAGTTAGATTTCAAATAATTGCTTCAAAATTAGTTTAGTTTCCTTCACACATATGCACACCACACACACTTACATATACACAGACAGAGAGACACACATATATGTAGCTATAGTAGGTCGATGAAAGAAATTCGAGGGATAAAAATACAACAATAATAATAATGATCATAATATTTATTGTAAGCTTTTTAAACCCCATAGAACCATGAAGATAAACGAAGTTAAAAATTGGAATTTTCGGGCACACCTGTGTCCTTTCCTAACGAGAAATAAAATACAATTGAACTTGTTAGGCATTTGTCATATTACTGATGAAATTTAGTAGTTTGAAGTTTGAAGCTAGTTGTTTGCCGCGATTATTGTTATGGAGGGTTTGTAGATGTCTTTTTGTGAAAACCGTATTTCCTGAGTAGGCCTAAATTTCTATTTAATCATAGAATGCGTGACTTTATTCTAAACGTCTTTACGATCATGTATATATATATATTTATTTAATACTACTGTTTCTTGGTCTTATACAACTCTGACCTATATATATTAAAAAAGTTAATGGTCATATATATATATATATATATATATATATATATATATATATATATATATATATAAAACAGAGAGAGAGAGAGAGGAGAGAGAAAGAAAGAAAGAAAGAGAGAAAGTAAAATTCTAAAACGATGGTGAGTCAGTCAAATTTTCTCACTTCGTACTTCACAAATGTAGCCTTGGGACAAGGGCAAAACACATTTTATGCAGTTGCGTTTTAAAATAAAGTGAAAATCACCACGCCTAGGTAAATGGTTAGCAAGTTCAGGTAATTTCTACATTAGAGAAATTGTTCGTTATTGCATATCCTACAAGTGTAGCCTTGTGTAAATCTAAGTTAAACTTGGTACATATCTCTCGATGCCTGGCATGAATCAATGGTCATCAAACTGGTTTAGCATATGAATTCGTTAGTTTAGTTAAATCAGTCTTCACTGGGAAAATCTTATGACAGATTAAACTACAGGTACCTTATCTTATTTACCATTGCTGGTAAATAAGATAATCTCGTTAGATTGTTCCACAGTGCAGTGAATTTGAACCTTGAGAGAATAGTATATGTGAAAAGAGAGCTAATATGGTTAATGAGTTTATCTCACACACATTTGCAGATAAGTTAGAT